TTAAGTGTGGGAGCCGCGCCGACGACCATGCCAGCTCTCGAGGATTCACCCTCCTTCCGGTGCCGAACACGGGACGGTGTACGTGCGAATCACTCTTGCACGACTGAGGGAATCCATCGATCGTTCGCTGCCAACTGACCAATCAAACGAAGCTTACGAACTTGGCACTTTTCCTGAAGCGAAACATCAAGCAGTGCCGGAGATTCGAAATTCCCTGGCGCGTACCGTTCCGTTTATCCGAGCAGCATTCGACTCAGTTCCTTGCCGGGACAATGAGTCGTGTTATTCGTCACTATGGGATTCCACAGGCGATGGTGAGCGTGACAGAAGATCTGCACCAAAGGCTAAATGTATAAAAGCGCCATCCAAACTGAACGATCACCGCCTAACTGGTTTAATATTACCAGCGGAGTTCGTCAAGGCGAGGAGCTCTCTCCTTTGTTATTCAATATCTTGACGGACCGCGTTATGCGGAAGCGCATCTTCCCAAATGACCCAAATAACAATGACCGACTGACCGCTGGTCAGCGACGCATCTCGAGATGTCCGGCGTTATTCCTATTCGGCGTTCAGTATGTCGATGGCGTGGTGCAGCTGAGCGACTCCGTGAGGGGCGTACTGATACTGACCGAAAGTGCGTGCAGTACCGCTTCGGGACGGAGTCTACAAGAGAAAGAGCCAAAAAGTGAATATCACCGACAGTCCAATTATTGAACGGTATTATGATGAAAGAGGTGGACCATTTCGAGTGCCGTAGAACGGTATTGGCTATCAGTGGCGACACTGACCGTGGCGTGCACGGGCGAATTGGATTCGCATCGGAGAATTGCAACAAGCACGTGTCATACGCAGGGATCAATCTATAAGAGCGGGCACGATTATGGCCATCTTGAAAGCAATCATATTCCCAGCGCTCGTGTATAGTCTTGAAACATGTGCAGTCCTTAAGCGGGTTGAAGCAGATCTGAGCAGCTTCCAAGAACGTTGTTTACCGGGTACCCTTAAAGTGCGGTGGAGTGCACCGGTTTACAAGCGAGCAGATGCTGACGACCAGCAGTCGGAGAAAACTGCCAGATGATCTCAGGGACACCGGCGCCAACGTGACAGACTCGACAGCAGAAGAGAATGGAAGCATATTGAAACTTTTCTCTCTTGGGAATCGCACACGGGCCGCAAATGAGTTGGAAGACAGTGCAAATCATGGAAAACCTCTTTGAGACGCACCTGCTTGGGAGAGAAATGTGATCTTTGCCTGATATCAGACTGAAGTACCATTTTTAGCAGTCGGACATCATGAACTCAGGTCACTATGCTGTTTAGCCTCAGATCTCTGTTAGTTTCGGTTGAGTTAGCTGAACAATAACAATTGAATCGTTGAACTAAGTTGATGTTTGATCAGGTTCCAAGAGACAGCAAACGATCGGTAGGAAGGCCACCAAAACAACTTCAAAATGAGTGAAAAAGTTTTAGTGCAGCAAAGTGGAGGAGAATCACAGAAGACAGAATTTCCTGGCAAAGTCTTATAAAGGGTCTGAAGGGTCAACCACTGGCCATTGAAGAATATTCGATTGTGAGGCTGCCGCGTTTCCGCTGGGTCTCGCAATAGACATCTGCAGAGGCATGAAGACAGTCATTTCATGCCGAACCTCATAGATACTATCATTGTTAGTTACTATCTGGTGATTTGGTTAGGCAGCAATGCCGATAAGGAAACAGTTACATGGGTTCAAGACTTCGGCTCTTGTTTGGATTAAGAGCTCTTTGGCAACTATGCATTTTTTGTAGTTGCCATTGTTAAAAGAGTCATTGTGTCCGACAGAAATCTGAGGTATGGCAGCAGTCTAGCATTGCCTGAACATCACGTTTCAGAGGAAGTTAGGCTGATGATTGCAATCTCTGGCCTTGTTTATAATGTTCTGGCTGTTTGACTGACCACCGTAGACAACCGGCATTTTATGCAAATCATGAAATCAGGTACACCGGTCTTTTGTCTCTGTCCCTTCCTTGGCCTTCCTCAAGCAAGACCTTAATTTCCTGTCCGACTTGGAGGCGGTTCTGATAGTTTTCTTTTCCCGTACACATCTTACCAATTCTGAAATGACCTGGAACATGCGGAATGCGAACCGTTGCTGATTGCTGTCAGAGCAATCGTTCGGTTCGTTGTTGTCTTTCGTGGATATCTCTCTGCCCGTCGAACCTCTTTCACGTGATGGAGTTCGTATTGAAGTCCTGTTGGTTCGGATGTTAGTTGCAGTGCTCTGTCAAATCGCCATGGCATGATGTCAATATGCTAATGAGTTTGGATTTCCATCCGTGCCGAGTCAATATCCGCGGTCGGAAAGCCTGTTTGTGATCAGGAAAGGGGCAAAGGATTACGATGATCAAGCGACAACAGTTCACAAACAAATTCAGAAAGCTGTGATGGAACAGTGCTGCGCCTCAGTTAGAAATGCAACTACCGCAAGCAATTGTCTGGGCTCAATTCTTAGCCATTCTTCGCAACCCT